TGCCATGCAGTCCTGGCCCTGAGCACCGGTGTTAGAAACTGCCTGCGGGAGTTTCTCCTCTGTAGGGACAAACCCATGCCCCTCATGGAATGATAGCAGTACTGCTGAACAGGTGTGACCCCAAAACCTCATGGGTTACCTCACAGGAGGAATAGTGAGCTATTTAGGGACCAAGGGACTCTTGCCCTCTGCGAGGTGCCCTCTGAGGTCCCACGGCACCCCAAGGGTTTCATCTTTTAGAGGTGCTTTGAAGGCGAGACCCTGCCCCAGTCCATCTGCTGTGCTGCGGAGTGAGGACCAGCCTCCCTGGCAGCGCGTGGCACATGGGGAGGAAGTCGGGACAGGGGACGGAGCTGCGCTGGGGCCCAGACAGCTGCCTCTGAGCCCCCGTGCCCGTCTGTCCTGGTGTGGGGAGAGTTATTTCACGTCCCCGAGGCTTTCTCAGCCCGAAATTACCGCAAGGACTCTAAGAGGTGGTCCCTGGGTGACCGACAGACGCTCAGCGGTAAGCAGGAGGCGTTTATTGAGCACCTACCATGTGCCAGGCACAGTACCCATGACCGAGGACGCCTTTCCTCACCCCCACCCCCGGCCTCTGAACTCTTTCATCATCAGTTTGTGGAAAATTAGCAGCTAAGCAGTTCAGAGGGCAGGGATGCCTGCTCGCTGGCCTTGCTGTCTCTGAGCAGTGGATGGTGGAGGACGTTTAACCTGAGTGAGGCCAGCCATGGACCCTGGGTCTCCTGACTCACCACCTCTGAGGGTTTACGACAGGCAGGAAGCATGAGTGATTTGTAGTGACTCCAGGCGACTCGGCCGTGTCTTGAGGCAGAAGGGACAAGCATGGAGAGCGCTGTGAAAGCAGTGTGGGGTTTCCTGTGAGGGAGTTCGAAACTGCCTGCGGGAGGCTCCAGAGACAGGGCGTGAGCTGGGCTAAACTTGCTTCTGCTTCAGGTGCACAGGGATTGTCAGTCATGCGTGTGTGTGGTCCAGGAGACTTGCAAAGCTTGCGTTGGCACCAACAGTGATTCCACAGTCCTGCAGTGTCACCGTCCCTGCTCTTCCAGAGGACAGTTGCACGTCTTGGAGACAGGAGCCTATGATTTAATTGGAAACGTAATTGCCGTGTCCCAGGTGACGAGTAAAGGCTTCAGGGGAGGAGGTTCTTCAGCACCATGGAGAGCTCCCAGCAGGCTTTCCTCTGGGCTGGAGGGAGGAGCTAGCTGGCCAGGCTTGCTCCAGGCTGGGCGTCCATGCTGACTCCACTGGTGGTGGCCGTGGAGACCATCCGGATCCCGGCCCTGTGCACAAAAGGATCCTTGTTTGTCAGCGGGGACTCATGGGTCCTGGCTTCCAGGTTTACTGTGAGGAGTCGATACTATGTTTACAGTGAAGTATCTGAAAGTGGGGACAGCACATGTGCTCCAGGGTCACACAGCCTTGATCCTGCCACTTCCTGGTGAGCTGTGTTGTCAGCTTCTCATTCTCTGCATGGACCTGAATTAAATAAAAAAAAAAATCTTTAAAATCAAATTAACAGTCCCTACTTTATACCCACCAGGTTCTCAAGTCTTAATTTGAAAATAGTATGAAATTGAGAAGACAAGTGTTAAACACCTGCCATGGGGCCCCTCTCGTGGGAGGCCGTTTAGAACGTACCTTCTACTAGAAATAACGACAGCAATTATCGCCGTCGCCATCATTATTTATTGACCTCTTGCCTCAAATGCCAGTGTCTGTGTATTTAGGAAACAGTGGCCACTGCCACCTCTGCCATCGTTACTGTAATATCGTAATCTTGGATGTAATCGTGGCTGGTTAAGCAGCTGCACGACTGACCGGTCAGCCAGCTCTGCATTCATGTGTCCACTCTTTTGGTGGCTTATGGGGCTGAAAGGGAGGAAGGGGACGTGCTTGCAGGTCATTAGCTTTATTAGCTCAGCTGTATAATTTTATGGCTCATAACTGAAAGCACATTAATACAGAAATGTGCTGTTGGAATGGTTTGCAAAGCCCGGTGCCATCGGCAGCTTTGTGGTGACTCGCTGACTCGCTCCTGTCACCAGCCGTTTCAGAGCTCCGCGTCTCGGCCCTGCACCGCGGTGTGATCTGCCTTCAAAGCTCGCGTGATCGTTTTAATAAAAAGGGGTAAGATGCCACATGCTGAAGTCTTGATGTCATGCAAGTGAAAATCACCCCTGGAGGGAATCGGGAAAGAAAACAGAAAGAAAGACACCCAAAAGCGTGCATCTTAAACCCAAATCTGTCAGCGGTCTGCGTGCCAGGTCTGAGTGGGGGGACCTGAATGGACTTCGTCAGCCCCACCCTTGAGCTCAGCCGTGTTTACACATCCCAGGGCTGCAGTGGCTCATAGCCTCCGCTTCATTCGTGTGTCATTAGGAGAACTTTATATTTACTTCTCCTAAAATAACTTTTATTTTATTTTAAATAGGCAAAATGTACACACAGTTCAAAAAGGTTTTTAGACGGATGCTCCTACCTGCTCAAATACCCCGTTTTATTTGTTCCTTGCTCATATTTCAGAAGTTCTTTCTGAGACCGGAAGTGAACACAGGCACAGTCTCACCTTTTTTTAAACACAGATGCCTCTTGCTTTGTTCGCTTAATAGCACGCGTCTCGGGAAGCCGCGTGTCGCTGCATAGCGAGCGTCCTGTCTCCCGCCCAGTGGCAGAGCGCGTGCACCTGCATTCCCACAGCTTCGCCCTTGTGCAGGTTTTCAGGCTCTTGGATCTTTGCCAATCTGGAGGACGTGTGTTCTTGAGCAAGTCACCTCTCCCTTCCAGAGCTGTCATGCTGCAGGAAGGAGCTTGGACACAGAGTTGAAAGGAGCCCCAGGAAATTTCTGCTTTGAGTGACGAGGACCACGCTACTCAGTCCCCTGCTTCTGGCTTCTCACGTGCACACCGTGGACTCTGCCTGTCCCGCTCGGATGAAAGGAGCATGGAAGTCACGTGCCACAGAGCCTGCCGCCTGTCAGGAAATGTCCCCGTCTTTTTTTCTGGGGCCAGCTTCGTGTCCACGAGTCCGCGACTTCGAATTCCCTCGGGGGCAGTTCTTTCACAGAGAGTCGTGTCACTGAGAGTGAGTTTCTCTGAGTCGGGGGGTTGTTGTTGGAGCCAAGCCGAGCCCAAACCAAGAGAAGGGGAGCGGGTGCTTTTGCTGGCACTCTCCTTGCAACGCTGATTATAGTGAGCCCCAGGTGCCTTACGAGATGTCTTCTCTGTGAGAAGGGAAGTAGCTCTGTCACGTGACCGTAAAGGAGGCAAAAGGAGATGGCCTCGCCTCTCCACCGCAGGGCAAGTCCCTGGGCTCTGGTCCTTCATCACTGCACAGGGGGTGGTGCTGGGGGCAGGGCTGCAGGGGGACGCTGAACCGAGGCAGGTCGGGAGGGTGGGCGGTAGGCCCGGGACACGGATTCAGCAGACGTGACTGCTCCCAGGAAGGGTGCCACTCCCCAACCATCACCAAGCCATGTGCGCAGCGGCCTGTGGTCTCACCAGGGGCTACACTGACCCGCCCCTGGGCCACACCCCTTGGGAGAGGGACGACCCCTCGCCCTGCTCCCCGGGGGTCTTGTTGGTTCAGGGACCGGAGAATCAGCATTTGCAGGAGCCCTCCCCTGCTAGAAACCGTCCCAAACGAGAATCCACAGCCCGAAACCGCTAAGCACTCCCAGCAAGGATGCGTCCTCGTGTTTCCCCTGGTGGTGTCACAGCATGCAGTGCGGTGCGGCTGACTGAGCGACAGCAGAGGTGGACCAGCCCCGTGGTGGCCGTGGTCGGGCATGTGGATGCAGAGGAGCCCCTGGAACTGGCCAGCGTCCCCTGGGAGTGGGCGTGCCTCCATCCATGCCCCCGAGCAGGGAGGCGGGCTCTGTCCAGTGAGGAGATCCGGGTCTACTCCCCCTCAGCCCCATGTGACACTGAGCGACCGGGCCAGGCTAGTGTCCATTCTGTCACTCACAGTTTCTGACCTTTCCGAGGCTGTTTCCTCACGTCCTGAACACTAGTAGCCACGTGTGCCCGGAGTGTGCTGAGGGCTTCATCACTTATGCTGACGCCAGAGTAATCCCGTCAGGAGTCACGGCTGTCCCCGTTCTAGCCATGAGCCTGTGGGCGACCCGCACCGGTGACCGTCAGCTATTGACGAAAACCACCCATTCACTCTCGCCTACCGTCATGGGAACGTGGGGATGTGCGTGCGCTCGCTCGTTAAATGTCGTCACCATCAGTAGCTGTGTGAGACACTGGAACTTGAGGTAGACCGTGGGCTCGAGTCGGCCGGGCAGAAGGGGAGGAAGAGTGCGTTCTGGAAGGAAGGGGTTTGCACGGAGCCTGAGCGGAGAGAGAGCGGGGGCGCCGGTCACGTCCCTGCCACCTGCCCTTCTGTAGGAAAAGGAGAGGTTTATGGATCCATTTCTGAGAAGCACATTGGCCGTTTTAACATTAGTGCCTGGGGAGTTCCGTTTTCTGCGTGTCTAAGCCTGATGTTTTCATGCACTGATACGCGCCGAGAGCGGTCTGGCTTCCTCGACGATGAACTCGCGGACGTGAGCCCATCCGTGGTAACGTGTGTGATTCTACCCAGACACGTGGCACGACAGCAGGAAGCCAGCGTGACACCGCAACGTCGAGAAGCGCTTGTGGTCGTGTTGGACAGCGAGCGTGCTCTGCGTGCTTTGTCAGGGAAAACAGCCTTCCGTTTGCCCGATCTCCCCCAGCAAGACTAGTTGTTGGGTTAAAATCCCCCCGGTGGGTTTCCCTTCCTTACAAAACAGTAGCTTGATTTACCTGGGTTGGGGGCGGGGAGGCACTTGAAACGTTTTCCACACACGCAGGTGATGCCTTAGAGGCTGGTTAGACCATCACGAGAAGAGGAGGGCACGTGTCTGCTGTGGGCGGTTTGCTGTCTGAGGGGCCTGCGTAGACACTTCTGGAACCCCTCTTCTCGTCCTATGTTTTCCTTGACCGAGGCTCACCCTTCTTTGAAGCGCACGGGCGAGGCAGGTGTGGAAGGGCTGCTGAGCCAGCCGGTCCTGGAGCAGCTGCAGCTGGCCCCTCTGCAGTGGGGTGAGTACCGCGTGTCAGCGCTCCCCGTGCAAGCACGTGCTCGTCTGTGTGTGCCCACGCCACCACGGGGACCTCGTGGGCAGCGGAGCCCACCTCGCTGCCGTCCTGCACCGTGGCCTGCGACCACGTCCAGGCAGCCGCGTCTTCTGCAGAGGTTTGAGTGCTGGGGAGTAATGGGGGTGCAGCTCCCTCCTGCCTCTGTTCCTCGCATGCAGATGGCTTTGACAGCTTGTCACGTGCTCGGCATGGGAGGGTGCGTGTCGCGAGCTCCTGAGCTCAGCCTGGTGCTCAACGCGAGAGGCTCCGTGACTTGACACTTGGCACGACGTGCTTGGACGTCTGCTTCCCCTGCACCTGGGCACAGACGTTCACCCCAGTCTGTGCCTTTCTGAAGAGCCGTCAACAATATTTTGCTGAGAAGCAAGCTAAATAGGATTTTTGTTGAAGCGAGGGGCTTTATTTTTTATCACGTAATCTATTTTCAGTCCAATAGGAACAGTCAGTTGCCGACACGTCTATATCTTCTTTCTTCACCCAAGAAGTCATGGTAGGTTAGTGTCTGGTCCTTCCACCAGGGAAGGAATAAGCTCGATCTCCCCCTTTGCACACGGGAGACAAGTGAGGGTTATCCCAGGGGCTTGAAGGGGAGCAGACCCTTCCTCCAGCACCCCTGCTCACCGCATAGGGCCTCGGCCCCGCTGGGCTGCCAGGTCCCGCAGGCGGTCGGGGTCCTGTGAGCGACCCTGCTGGCCGCTGTGAGTGGGCCGCACGTCACACCCAGGCGGCTCCCTCTGTGCCCTCCGCCCCGAGCCAGCCTGAGTGGAAGGCAGGCGACGGTGTTTCTGCAGAGGGCGTCACTGCTGGCACCTGTGGGGCCTCCCTCCACCCCGACACCTTTCTAGGTTAGAGTGTCGTGTCTTGTGGTTACCTGGGCATGGCCAGGTACTGTCCAGATGTGGGCGGCTGAGGGCGGTCAAACACCTAGACCCTCCCGCCCCTGGGGCTGGGACAGGCCCTGGGAAACTGGTGCTGTGAAGCAAAATGAAGCCAAACTCATGTCAGCGTGTCGTGCCAGGCGGGAGAAGTAGGGAGCAAACGGTCACAGTGCAGCCATGCCCTGGGTGAGCCCATGGGCACCGGGTCCTTGCAGAGTCGGAGCCGCAGAGGGAGGGGGGCGAGGGGGCCGGAGGGCGCTTTGCCACATTCGCATTGGGTCCTTTCCAGATGGCGGTGGACAGCGTTCGGGTCAGCTGCTGTGGAGACGCGTGTTGCGTGCGCACCAGTGTGTTGTTGGCAGACAGCGCGGGTGTTAATGATGCACCTGGTGAGGACACAGGCGTTTGTGCCGAGGGCCCTGTGGAGGCCGGGGACCGGGGCTCAGGCTGCACTTCGGGTCTCCCGGCGGCACCCCGCCTCGGCCCGGGGCCTGTCCTCGTGGCACAGGCATTCTGCAGAAGCATGTAAGGTTTTCCTGCTCGGCGTCACGACTAACTAAGTACTGTCGTGTCTGGCTGTTCCTGGTGAGCGTCTTCATACACGCATTTTTGTCCGATTTTTCTCACTAGATGGATTTTCTAGTTTGGGAATTCCTAAGTCAAAAGACGTGAACGTTTTTAAGGCTCTTGAGCTGTTTTATCAAATGACTGTGTTCCTCGGTGGTGTCGTGAGCAGTTCCAGAACAGTGCCCACGAGAGAAGGCCACGCATTGTGTCTGCCTCCCTCCCGCCCATGCCGGCCTCCCCAGCCCAGCGTCTCCTTGAGGCGGGGCAGGGGCTCCATCTCTGGCCTCAGCATGTGTCACCTTGCACCCTCCCTGTCTCTTCTGCAGTGGATCTGACGCCTGGGGCCCTGCAGCTCCCCAGAGCCTGTGGAGGGGGTTCAGGTGTCACTGCACAGGCTGCCAGCCCCTGGCAGGCCCTCGCTTACCTGACAGGTGCTTCTCGAGTTCCCAGACATCACCCATTTGGCCTGGCTGACAACAGGCATGTGCAGGCAACTCAAAGACATGCAGCCTCTTATTTAAAAATAACTGTTTTGCAAGTGCGCATCCCCTGCCAGGCGAGGTGCCCGAACTCCAAACGGGCACACAGGGCTCGGCCAGGTTGGTTGTGCCCGGCACTGCCCGGCTGCGGAGTGACAGACTCGGTTCAAACACGCGTTCCTCACGCTGGAGCCGCGCCCTCCCCACGGGATCAGCCCGTGAAGCAGCGTGTCCTCATGGGGGAGGGCTAGGGACAATCAGACGAGCTAGAGAGGAGGGCCCTTTCCCACCAGCCACACAGCCTCTGTGTCAGCTCATTCGTGTGCATTTGTTTTTTACCTTTCGACCCTCTTCCCCCATTTTTCTCTGCCCCCCGTCTGTGCTCTGTATCTACGAGCTTGCGGGTTTTTTGTGTTTGCTTTTGGATTCCACATATGAGTGAGATCATCCGGTATTTATCTTTCTCTGGCTCATTTCACTTAGTGCAGTGCCCCAGGTCCCTCCACGCAAGTCCTCACAGTGGCAAGATTTTGTTCTTCTTTGTGGCTGAGTAACATTCCATCCTGTCTGGGCACCGCGTCTTCTTTATCTGCTCATCCGTCGACGGACACTTAGGCTGTTCCCATGTCTCGGCTGTTAGATGTAACGCTGCAGTGCACACGGGGGCCGCAGATAACCTTTCAAGTTAGCGTTTTCGTTTTCTTTGGATAAATACCCAGAAGGGGGATTGCCGGGTTGTGTGGCAGTTCTATTTCTAATCTCTCGAGGACCCTCCATCCCGTTTTCCGTAGGGGCTGCACCCCACCAACAACCCCACCAACAGTGCACGAGGGTTCCCCTTTCTCCACATCCTCACCTGCACTCGTAATTGCTTGTGTTTTTGATAATAGCTCTTCAGGCAGGTGTGAGGTGATATCTCATCATAGGCTTTGAATTGCATTTCACAGGACGGTAATGATGTTGAGCATCTCTTCATGTACTTGTCGGCCATCTGTATGTCCTCTTTGGAAAACGTCTGTTCAGATCTTCTACGCATTTAAAATTGGGTTGATTTTGCCTGTTTTGCTGTTGAGTTGTATGAGTGCCGTATGGATTTTCGGTATGAGCCCCTTATCAGGTATGCGATTTGCATACACTTCCTCCCACTCCGCACGTGCCTGTTCCTGCTCCTGTTGTCGGCGGTGCCTGTTCCTGTTGTCAGTGGTGCCTGTTCCTGTTGTTGGCGGTGCCCGTTCCTGTTGTCGGCGGTGCCCGTTCCTGTTGTCGGCGGTGCCTGTTCCTGTTGTCGGCGGTGCCTGTTCCTGTTGTTGGTGGTGCCTGTTCCTGTTCCTGTTGTCGGCAGTATCCTTCGCTGCGCAGAGGCTTTTTAGTTTGCCATAGTCCCACGTTTATTTTGCTTTCATTGCCTTCGCTTTTGATGTCAGATTTTAAAAAATCATCTCCAAAACCTGTGTCAAGGAGCTTATCCTGTTTTCTTCTGGGAGTTTCATGGTTTCCGGTCTTTACACTCAAGTCTAATTCATTTTGAGTTGTTGTGTTTTTTTAGGTTTTTTGTTTTTTTTTTTTATGGTGAGAGATAGTAGTCAGGTTTCATTCTTTTGCATGTGGCTGTTCATTTTTCCTAACACCGTTTACTGAAGAGACCATCCTTTCCTCATTGTGTGCTCTTGGCTCCTGTGTCATAAACTCATTGACCATATATGTGTGGGTTTATTTCCAGGCTCTCGATTTTGTTCCACTGATCCATGTGTCTGTTTTTATGCCAATACCATACTGTTTTAATTACTATAGCTCTGTAATTTTGAAATCAGGGAGTGCGAGACCTCCAGCTTTGTTCTTCTTTCTCGAGATTGCCTTGGCTATTTGGGGTCTTTTGTGGTTCTATACACATTTTAGAATTATTTGTTCTATTTTTGTGAGAGATGCCATTGGAATGTTGATAGAGATTGTGTTGAATCTATAGATTGCTTTGGATGGTATGTATTTTTTTTTAAAGCGGTATTGATTCTTTCAATACATGAGCACAGAATACCTTTCCATTTATTTGTGTCGTCTTCAATTTCTTTCATTAATGTAGTTTTCAATATACAGGTCCTTCACCTTGGTTAAATTTATTTCTAGATATCTTATTCTTTTTGATGCAATTGTGAAAGGTTTGTTTTCTTAATTTCTCTGATAGTTCATTATTAGTATAGATAAATGCAACAGATTTTTGTGTATTGATTTTCTATCCTGTGACTTTATGAATTTGCGTATTCTAACAGTTTTTTTTTTTATGGAATCTTTAGGGTTTTCTATATATAAAATCATGGTATCTGCAAATAGTGACAGTTTTACTTCTTCCTTTCCAATTTGGATGCCTTTTATTTCTTGCCTAATAGCTCTGGCTAGGACTTCCGGTATTACATAGAGTAACAATGGCAGGCGGGGGCATCTTTGTCTTCTTCCTGAGCTTAGAGGAGAAGCTCTCAGTTTTTCACGATTGAGTATGATGTTCACTGTGGGCTTGTTATATATGGCCTTTATTGTACTGAGGTACATTCCCTCTATACACTCTTTATTGAGAGTTTTTATCATCAATGGATATTGAATTTTGTCAGATGCTTTTTCCGCATGTTGAGATGATCATCTGACTTTCTGTCTTTCATTTTGTTAAGTGGTGCATCACGTTGACTGATTCGCAGATGTCGAACCATCTTTGCATCCCCGAATAGACCCCACTCGATTGTAGGTTTTGAACGATCCTTTTAATGTATTGCTAAATTCCGTTTACTAATATTTCATTGAGGATTTTTGCATCTATGTTCATCAGGGACATTGGCCTGGAAGTTTGTTTTTTCCTCGTGTCCTTGTCTGGTTTTGGTGTCAGGGTAATGCTGGCCTCACAGGATGAGTTTGGAAGAGTTACTTCTTCTTCTGGCTTTTGGAAGAGTTCGAGAAGGATGGGATTAATTCTTCTTTGAATTTTGGTAGAATTCACCCGCGAAGCCATCTGGTTCTGGACTTCTGTCATTGGGAG